CAGACTCACATGCAGACACACATGCAGACTCACATGCAGACACACATGCAGACTCACATGCAGACACACATGCAGACACACATGCAGACACACATGCAGACTCACATGCAGACACACATGCAGACACACATGCAGACTCACATGCAGACACACATGCAGACACACATGCAGACACACATGCAGACTCACATGCAGACACACATGCAGACACACATGCAGACACACATGCAGACTCACATGCAGACACACATGCAGACACACATGCAGACACACATGCAGACACACATGCAGACACACATGCAGACTCACATGCAGACACACATGCAGACTCACATGCAGACACACATGCAGACACACATGCAGACACACATGCAGACACACATGCAGACACACATGCAGACTCACATGCAGACACACATGCAGACACACATGCAGACACACATGCAGACTCACATGCAGACACACATGCAGACACACATGCAGACTCACATGCAGACACACATGCAGACACACATGCAGACACACATGCAGACTCACATGCAGACACACATGCAGACACACATGCAGACACACATGCAGACACACATGCAGACACACATGCAGACTCACATGCAGACTCACATGCAGACTCACATGCAGACACACATGCAGACACACATGCAGACACACATGCAGACTCACATGCAGACACACATGCAGACTCACATGCAGACACACATGCAGACTCACATGCAGACACACATGCAGACACACATGCAGACACACATGCAGACTCACATGCAGACACACATGCAGACACACATGCAGACACACATGCAGACACACATGCAGACACACATGCAGACTCACATGCAGACACACATGCAGACTCACATGCAGACACACATGCAGACACACATGCAGACACACATGCAGACACACATGCAGACTCACATGCAGACACACATGTAGACACACATGCAGACACACATGCAGACTCACATGCAGACACACATGCAGACTCACATGCAGACACACATGCAGACACACATGCAGACTCACATGCAGACACACATGCAGACACACATGCAGACACACATGCAGACACACATGCAGACACACATGCAGACTCACATGCAGACACACATGCAGACACACATGCAGACACACATGCAGATACACATGCAGACTCACATGCAGACACACATGCAGACACACATGCAGACTCACATGCAGACACACATGCAGACACACATGCAGACACACATGCAGACTCACATGCAGACACACATGCAGACACACATGCAGACACACATGCAGACACACATGCAGACACACATGCAGACTCACATGCAGACACACATGCAGACACACATGCAGACACACATGCAGACACACATGCAGACTCACATGCAGACACACATGCAGACTCACATGCAGACACACATGCAGACTCACATGCAGACACACATGCAGACACACATGCAGACACACATGCAGACTCACATGCAGACACACATGCAGACACACATGCAGACACACATGCAGACACACATGCAGACACACATGCAGACACACATGCAGACACACATGCAGACACACATGCAGACTCACATGCAGACACACATGCAGACACACATGCAGACACACATGCAGACTCACATGCAGACACACATGCAGACACACATGCAGACACACATGCAGACACACATGCAGACACACATGCAGACTCACATGCAGACACACATGCAGACTCACATGCAGACACACATGCAGACACACATGCAGACACACATGCAGACACACATGCAGACACACATGCAGACTCACATGCAGACACACATGCAGACACACATGCAGACACACATGCAGACACACATGCAGACTCACATGCAGACACACATGCAGACACACATGCAGACTCACATGCAGACACACATGCAGACTCACATGCAGACACACATGCAGACACACATGCAGACACACATGCAGACACACATGCAGACTCACATGCAGACACACATGCAGACACACATGCAGACACACATGCAGACTCACATGCAGACACACATGCAGACACACATGCAGACACACATGCAGACACACATGCAGACACACATGCAGACACACATGCAGACTCACATGCAGACACACATGCAGACACACATGCAGACACACATGCAGACACACATGCAGACACACATGCAGACACACATGCAGACACACATGCAGACACACATGCAGACTCACATGCAGACACACATGCAGACATCACATGCAGACACACATGCAGACTCACATGCAGACACACATGCAGACACACATGCAGACACACATGCAGACTCACATGCAGACACACATGCAGACACACATGCAGACTCACATGCAGACACACATGCAGACACACATGCAGACACACATGCAGACTCACATGCAGACACACATGCAGACACACATGCAGACACACATGCAGACTCACATGCAGACACACATGCAGACACACATGCAGACACACATGCAGACACACATGCAGACACACATGCAGACTCACATGCAGACACACATGCAGACTCACATGCAGACACACATGCAGACACACATGCAGACACACATGCAGACACACATGCAGACACACATGCAGACTCACATGCAGACACACATGCAGACACACATGCAGACACACATGCAGACACACATGCAGACTCACATGCAGACACACATGCAGACACACATGCAGACTCACATGCAGACACACATGCAGACTCACATGCAGACACACATGCAGACACACATGCAGACTCACATGCAGACACACATGCAGACACACATGCAGACACACATGCAGACTCACATGCAGACACACATGCAGACACACATGCAGACTCACATGCAGACACACATGCAGACACACATGCAGACACACATGCAGACTCACATGCAGACACACATGCAGACACACATGCAGACACACATGCAGACACACATGCAGACACACATGCAGACACACATGCAGACACACATGCAGACACACATGTAGACACACATGCAGACACACATGTAGACTCACATGCAGACACACATGCAGACACACATGCAGACTCACATGCAGACACACATGCAGACTCACATGCAGACACACATGCAGACACACATGCAGACACACATGCAGACACACATGCAGACACACATGCAGACTCACATGCAGACACACATGCAGACTCACATGCAGACACACATGCAGACACACATGCAGACACACATGCAGACACACATGCAGACACACATGCAGACTCACATGCAGACACACATGCAGACACACATGCAGACACACATGCAGACTCACATGCAGACACACATGCAGACACACATGCAGACTCACATGCAGACACAACATGCAGACACACATGCAGACACACATGCAGACTCACATGCAGACACACATGCAGACACACATGCAGACACACATGCAGACTCACATGCAGACTCACATGCAGACTCACATGCAGACACACATGCAGACACACATGCAGACACACATGCAGACTCACATGCAGACACACATGCAGACTCACATGCAGACACACATGCAGACTCACATGCAGACACACATGCAGACACACATGCAGACACACATGCAGACTCACATGCAGACACACATGCAGACACACATGCAGACACACATGCAGACACACATGCAGACACACATGCAGACTCACATGCAGACACACATGCAGACTCACATGCAGACACACATGCAGACACACATGCAGACACACATGCAGACACACATGCAGACTCACATGCAGACACACATGTAGACACACATGCAGACACACATGTAGACTCACATGCAGACACACATGCAGACTCACATGCAGACACACATGCAGACACACATGCAGACTCACATGCAGACACACATGCAGACACACATGCAGACACACATGCAGACTCACATGCAGACACACATGCAGACTCACATGCAGACACCCAGACAGAGTAGGAATGAGAGCCTGGGAACCCCTGATGACGATCAAATGCACACAGAGGCATTTGTTTCAGTCAGTCACATCACAGTCAGTCTCGCCCCAACTGCACCCATCCCAACTGCACCCACCCCAGCTGCCCCACTCCACCCACCCTGAAGTACGGGGCAATGATGCTTCCTCACGACGAGCATACCCCACCAGTACTTACCTTCCCCAGCAGCACCTACCCCCCAGGAGCTATGTTGTAAAATACGCGACCAGCGTACGGTACGCGTTCGAACTATACGCTACCGTACATTCGTGATACGCTGACTTCCAGCGTACAAAAAAACCCGAAATACGGAGTGTCGGGCAGGCAAAAGGATTCTTCGGGCAGGGATAAAACACTTCAGTGAAGGTAGAATCCTTCAGGAGTTTTTTTTTTCCTAGATGCTCGCTGATGCGGATAATCTCCTGGGCGATTTTGCGATAAGGAACTCTGAAATGTTTGAGGGATCGTTGGCCAGAATCGCCCTAAAATTTCGGCCGCGAGGATCCTGCAATGTGACGCTTAAGCCACAATTAGCAATAACAGATGCGGCATTGGCGGTCGACATAGCTGTTTGAAGCTACATCGTAGAGTAAAATAGGTGTGAGACAATTGAGATACGAAAGGCTGTTGTACGGAAAGCTGCCAGCTGCTAGTGGTGGGTGGGAGGGAAAGGTTGGGTTTGGGAGGTGGTGTGCGGTGATGTGCAGTGGAAAAGGGGGGTGGGGGATCAATTCGAGTCTCGAATGTCAAATTTAGGTTTCACAGAATCGCAGATCGCGAGAACGGCGGAACATAGTTTTGAGTTTTTTCGGGCTGCCCGACCTAGCCGTATCGCGTATTATGGACGTATCACGTTATTTCGTATATACGTTTCCGTACAAACGTGATACGCGTCGAAGCCTTAGCGTATAGTGCAACATAGCCCAGGAGCACCCACCCCAGCTGCACCTACCCCAGCGGCACCCACCCCGGCAGTACATACCTCCCCCAGGTGCACTTACCCTAAGGCAGACGGGGCAGTGCTTCTTCTTGACGAAGAGGCGGCCACAGGCGTCACACAGCATGTAGTTGAAGAACCACCTGCGCCCATGCGCGGCGAGAGCAGGTGCGGGGAGGGACAGGGAGGGGAGGGGAACGGCGACAGGGGGCAAGGCGTCACACAGCATGTAGTTGAAAAAACAGCTGCGGGGAGAATGGGCAGACAGGACGAGAGGAGGAAAAGAACGGGAGGAAGAAAATGGCAAGGCGTGACATGACAGAGCATGTGGTTGACAACCAGGTGGGGGGGTTGGGAAGGGGAAGGGGGTGGGAGGATGGGGAGAGGAGGAGGGGAGAGGAGGAGGGGAGAGGAGGAGGGGAGAGGAGGAGGGGAGAGGAGGAGGGGAGAGGAGGAGGGGAGAGGAGGAGGGGAGAGCGAGAAGCGTGAGAGAGCATGTGGTTGAGGAACCGGCAGGGGGGTTGGGGGGGAGAGGTAAGCTGAAGGGGGAAAGAGGAGTGGGGCAAGAGGAGGAGGGGGGAAGAGGAGGAAGCGGGGAGAAAAGGCGGCACAAAGCATGTGGCTGAAAAACAAGCTAGGGGGAGAAGTGGTAAGAGGAGGGGATGGTGAGATAGGGGATGGTGAGATAGGGGATGGTGAGATAGGGGATGGTGGAAGAACCAGAGAGGGGAGCGCAGAGAGACTGGGAGAAAAGAGGGTAAGGGGAGAGGAGGGAGGGGAAGGTGGGGAGGGATAGAGAAGGCGAGAGGGCATTTAGCTGAAGGAGCAGCTGAGGGAGATGTGTGACGGGGAGACAGGGGGGAGAGGAGAAGGGGGGGTGCGGGAAGAGAAGGGGGAGTGGATGAGTGTGATGCGGAGAGGAAAGAGTTGAGGGTTTCGAGGTCACATGGCAGGATGGGAAAATTGATTAGATTGGGATAGGGTGGTTCAACACAAAGTGGAAGGTGGACAGAGAGGGTGACACGTGGGAACAAAGGGAAGACGAGACGATCACGCACCCTTTCCTCGCACAACCCTCACCTTGCACCCAGGTTTTTTCCCGTCTCTCTCCCACACTCCCACCCCCCACAAATCTTCCCTCTCCCTATTATCCCCATCCCCTGTTGCCTCCAGCCCATCTCCCCACTCCCTGTTATGCCAACTTCGTACCGCGAGGACGTGCCACTGCCCGGCACTTTGGAGCCGCAGCTGTGGCACTGCGTGTGCCTGGGACACAGGAACGGGCCCTTGAACGGTGACTGGCGGGGTGCAGAGGGGTGCAGGAGGTGCAGAGGGATAAAGAGGCACGTAGAGGGTTGCAGAGGGGAGCAGGGGAATGAAGAGGCGGGTAGATGGTGCAGAGGGATGCAGAGGGGTGCAGAGAATATTGTGAGGAACACCTGCATGGTGTTAGGGCTGCATGAAGCACAGCAGCTCACACTCCAACACACTTCCTCAACTACACACTCACTCACACCCCCGCTCTCTCACTCACTCACCCACTCGCACTCATTCATCCACAGGCACATGCGCTCATCTTGGTGTGCAGCAGAGTGCACGAGGCATGATGGCCTCTGTCACAGCAATAGCGGCACAGATGGATGAGGGCAGATTCTCCATCTCACTCAATCGCGCTCTCGCCCTCACCCTCACTATCACTCTCATCTCAATATCCCGCTCCCACGCGCTCACATTGGTGTGCAGCAGAGTGCATGAGGCATGATAGCCCCTGTCACACGATGGATGATAGCCCCTGTCACACGATGGATGATAGCCCCTGTCACACGATGGATGATAGCCCCTGTCACACGATGGATGATAGCCCCTGTCACACGATGGATGATAACTCCTTCTCACCCTCACTCTTTCTCTTCTCTAACCCTCACTCTCACTCTCTCACCTCCCTCACACGCTCCCATGCGCTCACCTTGGTGTGAAGCTGAGTGCACGGGGAATGATAGCCCCTGTCACAGCGGTAGCAGCACAGGATGCATGAGGGCTGATTCTTACCCTCATTCTCTCTCACCTCGACACCCATTTCAATCACTCTTACCCTTGCTCTCACTCTCACTCTCAACCTCATTCGCACCCTGACTCACACTCCCTCACTCCTAGCATGTGCTCACCTTGGTGTGCAGCTGAGTGCATGCCGCATGGTAGCCCCTGTCGCAGCGATAGCAGCACAGGATGGACGACGGCTCCCCGTAGCGCTGGCACGCCTGACATAACATGTCAGGGTTTCGGGTTCAGGGTTTCATGGTTTAGGGGCAGGCAAAGCAGAGCGGCGGCAAGAAGGTTCAAACATGATCGCAGCAGAGGATGGATGAGGGTTCCCAGCAAGCACAGAGAGGGGGACCAAGCAAGGTCACAAGAGAGAAAGGATGAGGCTTTGTTTGAGCCGACTCAAAAGACGAGCGCCTGTGGGGCCTGCTGGGGGCATGTGAGACGATACCCCATGGCATGTGAGACGATACCCCATGGCATGTGAGACGATACCCCATGGCATGTGAGACGATACCCCATGGCATGTGAGACGATACCCCATGGCATGTGAGACGATACCCCATGGCATGTGAGACGATACCCCATGGCATGTGAGACGATACCCCATGGCATGTGAGACGATACCCCATGGCATGTGAGACGATACCCCATGGCATGTGAGACGATAACCCATGGCATCATATCGTGCCCACCACCCCCCCCACATGCCCCACCCACCCCCCATGCCCCAACCCCATGCTCCATCCCTCATGCTCCATCCCCCATGCTCCATCCCCCATGGTCCGGCTGACCTCACAGCGAATGCACCCCGGGCACACCCAGTCCCGCCAGTCCAGGTTGCCTGCGCACAGCACGGCAGTGCGGACGAATGTGGGCAAGAGGGGATGTGGGGCACGGGGGGAAAGGCATGGGAGGAATGTGGGGCAACCGAGGTGGGGGTTGTGGGGCAACGGGAGGGGGGAAGCGGGTCAATGGGTGGAACGAGGGGCAGGGGAGGCACACGGCAGGCACACGGCACACAGACGTACCTCTGTTGTCTGCCATTCCCAGCAGGCAGTGGCGGTGGAAGCTGCGACCACACTGCGGGCACGGCACCAGGCGAGCAGCTCTCGCACTGCCCTGCTCCTCCTCTCCCCCACACAACCCGCACCACACACTCCCCTCCCCGCCCTCACTCGCCTCCCTCCCCTTCCTCCCTCTTCTCCCTCTCTCCCCTCTCTCCTTGTCCTCTCTTGCAATCCCCCTCTCCGTGTCCCCTCTCTCTCCCTCCTCCTCGTGCTCATATCTGCCTGTCTCATCACCACCCACCCGCTTCATCCCCTCCTCTCCACCCGTCTCGTGCACTCCCGCTGCTCTCCGTCGGACCGACATCCTTTCTGCCCCCTCCCCTTTTCTGCCCTCCTCCTCGTCCTCCTTATCCTCCTCCTCCCTTGCCTCCTCCTCCCGACCATCCCCGCGTCTCTTCCTTTCATCCCCTTCTCCCCTCCTTACAGCACCATCGTCCCTTCCCCTCTTCTCTCTCCCCCTCTCCTCAAGCCGCTTCTCCTTCCCGCCCTTCTCTTCCTTCACCTGCACCTGCAGTTCCAACTCCTCACCCCTCCCTCCCTCTCTCCTTCCCCCCCTCGCCATCTCCTCACCACTCCTCTTCCTCTCCCTGCCCCCATGTCGCCTCCTGTCTATCGTACTCTCCCTCCCCAACTCACTCTCCTCTCCCTTGGAGACCTCTCCCCCAGCTACTCCCTCGCCCACCGCTGCACCCACTGCCCCCTCGCCCCTCTCGCCGCCCTCTTCACCCTCATCCGCATGGCTCTCTGCCACAGCTCTATTCTTTCCATCCGTCTCCTCCCCTTCTCCCGCTCTCACTCTCTCCCCCCTCTTCCCCACCAACTCACCTCTCTCCTTCTCACGTTTCTTCCTCCTCCTCCCCTCTCTAGGACGTTCCCTCTCTCTCTCACCAACCCCATCCTCCCTTCCCCCTCCTCCCACCCTCTCTCCCTTCCCAGACCTCTCTCCCCCTGGCCTCTCTCCCCCTGGCCTCTCTCCCTTCCCAGACCTCTCTCCCTCTGGCCTCTCTCCCCCTTTAGTAGTCGCCCCAGCCTCTGCCTTCCCGGAGTCTTTTCCTCCATCCTTCACTCCTCCTTCATCCTTCACTTCTCCTCCATCCTTCACTTCTCCTCCATCCTTCACTTCTCCAACCTTCTCTGCATGCTTCTTTCCTCTGTCCTTCTCTCCTTCCATATCACCCCTTCCAACCGTTTCTCGCCCCGCCCCAGCAGCCAGAAGCGCCTTGTCCTTGCGTGCTGCTGTCAGCCTCTCATCAGGTGCCGCCTTGCCAGCATCCACCCCTCCAGACGCCACAGCAACACCCTCAGCGACAGCAGCACCAGCACCAGCAGCATCGGTATTACTGGCGGCCCCTGCTGCTACAGCAGCAGCAGCGGCGGCGGCGGCGGCGGCAATGGCAGCCGCAGCAGCCTTGGACCCACCAACAGGTCTCCCCCTCTTTGCGGGTACAGCTTTAACTAGCCCCCCTTTTTCTCCCTCCGCACGCCTCCTTCCCTTCTCATCCTCCCCCTTTTTCTCCCTCTTTCCTCCTCTCCCTCCCTCTCCCCCCTCGTCTTCCCCCTCGTCTTCCCCCTCCTCTCTCCTCGGACCCTTCCCCATCTCTCTCTCCCGTTTATTTGCTTCTTCCGCCTTCCCCCCTGCCAACCCTCCCTCCCCTCTCTCTTCCCTCTTGCCTCTCTTCCCAATCTCGCCTTCTTCCGCTCCCTTTTCTCTGTTTCCTCCTTCCTTTCTCTCCCCTTCCCTTTCTTTCTTTTCTCCCTCCTTCCGCTCCCCTCCATCCTCTTCCCCTCCTGCCTCCCCTCCCGTCCGTCGTATCGCAGCTTCACCATCCTTTCCCTTCTCACCACGCCCCCCTTCACTCACACCAACTACCTTCTTCCCTTCAGGAAGCTTCACCTTCACTCTACGCTTGATCTTCACCTTTACTCCAACCTTCCCTCCCTGCCCACCCGTACCACCTCCTCCCACATCATCCTTCCCTCCAACACCACCCTCGCCATCGCCTCCATGCTTCCCTCTCGCCGCCATTGCACTGGTGGGATCCCCTTCCCCATGCACTGCCTTGTGGCCGGAACGGACAATGCTACCACCAGCACCACCAGTGGCACCAGTGGCACCAGCACCATCACCAGCATCACTAGCAGCAGCAGTACCAGCAGCAGCGCCAGCAGCAGCTGCGGTGTCATTACCAGCAGCTGCAGCAGCAACACCAGCAGCAGCACCAGCAGCAGCACCAGCAGCAACACCGGAACTATCCGCTACAGCAGCAGCAGCAGCAGCATCCCTTTTCTTGCGTGAGATTATAATAACTCTCTTTGGCTTTCGCGGCACCGTTTCACTCCCTGGAGGCACAGTAGTCGATCCACTCTGCACTGCAGCTGACTCTGCTTGCGACGCAGGCACTTCAGGTGGTTTTTCAGGTGAAACCAACACGAGAACCTTCCGCTGAGCGCCTCCTTTGATTTTGATCGTGCGCCTCCTCTCCTTCACCGACTCAGAGGCAGCCCCAGCAGCGGTATCAGCAGCAGCAGTGGCAGCCGCAGCAGATGAAGGACGGCCAGCACCGTCAGACTCCAACCCTGCTGCTGCAAGAGCCGCACTGGCAGATGGGCCAGGGGAAGGTGCTGTAGCCACAGCTGTAGCAGCGGCTGTAGCACACTTGGCGGGCGTGGAAGGCAAGGGGGGTCCGGCAGGTGCAAGGTGGGGTGCTGGTTGAGCGGGTTTGGAGGAAGGCGAGGGCACAAGCTGTGAATCAGATGAACCAGCCGCATGGGCACTGGCAGCACCAGCAGCGGCACCAACAGCAGCAGCGACACGAGCAGGGACAGCAGCAGCGCCCCCCGAAGGATCACGAGCAGAACCAACAGTCTTCCCTGCAGCCTTAGCCGCTGCCGCATCAGCAGCAGCAACAGCCGCAGCAGCAGCAGCGAGAAACGGAGGCAAGGGGTCAGAGCTGTTGGCAGCAGCAGCAAGAGCAGCAACGACCACAGCAGGCAGCGGCGGGGGGGGCAGCCCGGCAGCAAGAGCAGCAGCCGTGGCCGCTGCATGGGCCCTCGCTGCCTTTGCTGCCGCCCCCGCTTTACCCTTCTTGCTCGCCGCGAGAGCCTTGGCCCGAGCCGACATCTTAGGCTTGGGGGGACGCCTGGGGCCCGGGATTCTAGGCTTGGGAATGCCGTCTCCTGCTGCTGCTGCTGCTGCTACAGCAGGGTGCAGGAGTCCCTGTGGGTGATCCAGCCCCTGGAATGACGAGAGAGTGCATCAAGACAAGGCAAGAGAGCAGGTGATTGAGACTTTTCAGAGGAACCTTGGCACAATCCAGCTGCTGGGATCACATGGAAGAGAACCAGCAAGGGCAAAGGAGAATATATATGAGAATCCTAAGAAATACTCGCTGTACATACATACGCGGTCCAGAGCCTAGAGGGTGAGGTTACACGTTTGGGTTGAGTGCACGAGCAAGGGCAAAAGAGCACGTTGAGGACCGTCGGGACAGAAAACGTTGGATGAGACGACAATGACAAGTGGCCATGGCTAGCAAGCAGGAACGCGCGAATACGGAATCATGAAAAGTTGAGGGGGGTTGGGGGGAGAGGGAGGGAGAGGGGGGGGTGTTTGGCAGGGAGGGCGACGGGGGAGAGATGGGAGAAAGGCGGGGCTGCAGTGGAAAGGGTTGGTAAAAGATGGGGGAAACACGTGCTGCGTGTCACACGCACACACCTGCCCGCCAAAGGCAGAGTGCCCCCACACTGCCTCCCCCCCACTGCCCCACTCCGAGCCAGGCGTGTAACCAGCTGGGTGGTAACCAGCCGAGTAGTAACCAGCGGCAGGAGCTTGTGCGGTTTGCAGGAATGGTTGAACGACCACCCCGCCGTCTGCATGGAGGGGACAGGCAGGCAGGAACGAACGAGGGGAGATGTGGGGATGAGGGGAGAGGTGGGACCGTGGGGATGAGGGGAGATGTGGGGATGAGGGGAGAGGTGGGGATGAGGGGAGATGTGGGGATGAGGGGAGAGGTGGGGATGAGGGGAGGGGTGGGGATGAGGGGAGAGGTGGGGATGAGGGGAGAGGTGGGGATGAGGGGAGAGGTGGGGATGAGGGGAGAGGTGGGGATGAGGGGAGAGGTGGGGATGAGGGGAGAGGTGGGGATGAGGGGAGAGGTGGGGATGAGGGGAGAGGTGGGGATGAGGGGAGAGGTGGGGATGAGGGGAGAGGTGGGGATGAGGGGAGAGGTGGGGATGAGGGGAGAGGTGGGGATGAGGGGAGAGGTGGGGATGAGGGGAGAGGTGGGGATGAGGGGAGAGGTGGGGATGAGGGGAGAGGTGGGGATGAGGGGAGAGGTGGGGATGAGGGGAGAGGTGGGGATGAGGGGAGAGGTGGGGATGAGGGGAGAGGTGGGGATGAGGGGAGAGGTGGGGATGAGGGGAGAGGTGGGGATGAGGGGAGAGGTGGGGATGAGGGGAGAGGTGGGGATGAGGGGAGAGGTGGGGATGAGGGGAGAGGTGGGGATGAGGGGAGAGGTGGGGATGAGGGGAGAGGTGGGACCGTGGGGATGATTGGAGAGATGGAGACGAGGGGAGATGTGGGATGAGGGGAGAGGTGGGGATGAGGAAAGACGTGGGGATGAGGAGAAAGGTGGGGACGAGGGAGAGGTGGAGAAGAAGAGCCTATACGTGGAGCAACGGGAGCGGAGTAGGAAGAAGGGAGCCAAGTGCTCTTCATTGCTCCTCATTGTTAGGCACATGCTTTCTTATCCGGCGCACGATCTCGAGAGTCTCACCGTCCCAGTCATCCTCGCTCTCACCGTCCCAGTCATCCTCGCTCTCACCGTCCCAGTCATCCTCGCTCTCACCGTCCCAGTCATCCTCGCTCTCACCGTCCCAGTCATCCTCGCTCTCACCGTCCCAGTCATCCTCGCTCTCACCGTCCCAGTCATCCTCGCTCTCACCGTCCCAGTCATCCTCGCTCTCACCGTCCCAGTCATCCTCGCTCTCACCGTCCCAGTCATCCTCGCTCTCACCGTCCCAGTCATCCTCGCTCTCACCGTCCCAGTCATCCTCGCTCTCACCGTCCCAGTCATCCTCGCTCTCACCGTCCCAGTCATCCTCGCTCTCACCGTCCCAGTCATCCTCGCTCTCAAACGGCGGCACGTCCATCTCCACCATTCCATCGTACAGTAACCCGCTCGTTACAGCATCAGCCGTTACAGCATCATTCGCTACAGCAGCGTCCGTCACAGCAGCAGCACCCTCTTCCGCATCCCCTTCCGCCGCCCTCCCCCCTCCCCCCGTCCTCGTCCCCGCCGCCACCCCAAGCTTCCCCCGCTCCCACAGGGACCACGCCAACACAGCCGTCTGCGCGTCCACGTGGCAGGCAGCCAGTGGTCCGACGGACCCGAGAGAGCAGCGACATATGGGCCTCCTGCGGAGGGGAGTTGCGATTTGGATCACAGGGAAGCGGGAGCGTGTGCGGTAAAAACGGGAGTCGTGGCGCGTGGAAAGTATGTCAGAAGGGCTCCTAGAGGTTGTAGGAGTTGCATGGTAATACGTTCAAGGTTCGAAACGGTATTTTGTGGTTTTCTATCAATGCCGATAAGGAGTAGAGGAGAAAATAGGATCACGCACACGAAAACCTAAACGACTAAGCAACAGGAGTACTGAAGACACAATAACGACTAGCCATAATAATGAGACACAGTAGGAAGTAAATGGTTTAATTCCTTGATAATAGGGTCGGATGGTGCTTGGCGTCATAACGAGAGGCGCCTTACAGCGTGAGCGGACAGCCAACGTGGAACGTGGCCATAATAAGGGGTGCATCAAACGGAGGCGATTCTAAGCCGCGATCAGCGGCGATCGCTGTCGTGGGCTGCAGGGAGCAAAGAGAACTCCTAGTTGAGACAGGTCTGTCCTAGTCGCGACACGTCACACGACATTATTTAGATCTTGTCGCATAAAAGTTTCAAGTTTCTCGACCTTACACTGGTTTCCTGGGAAAATATGCCACACGTAACGAACACGGGAACCGATAACGTGAATGGTACAAAAAAAACGCGTACGGTCACTGTATCGGGTTTCCTGACGGGTTTGGTAAGTGGGGTCACGGATTCAGTCACTAACAACAGGTAAAGAATCACGCGAATGGTCACACATGTAACTCCCGCCAAAAAAACTTGAAACTCTACAATATTCCCGCTCGCGTCCAACCAATCATCCAACTTCTAAAAATACTAAAACCCAATCGGAATTGGATGCGGTTTGGGAACGGATCAACCCTAAACACCTGGCGAATTGTGTTTAGGGTTGATTCATCCGAAAATGCATCCAGGTTCGTTTTTGGGTGTTATCTTTTTGGGCGGGAGTTTCATCTGTGACCATTCGCTTTTTTCCCAGCTGACTGTGACTGATTCCGTGAAACGTTTTATCAAACACGTGAAAACACCCTTTCCAGTGACTGTACCCGTTTTTTTTTTACCAAACAAATTATCGAGACCCTTGTTGATTACGTTTGGCATATTTTCCCCTGGTTTCCTACTTGTGGCAGTTGGCGATTGTGTGCGACTGAGGGTTTTCGGTGAAGGTACAGTAACTTTAGGGTGGCGAGTGCATTTCCCATCCCCAACAACTACAAACTCTTTTGCATGGCAACAGGGTTGCACCCAGCCAAACTTACTATAAGGAATTTTCCCCAATTTCTTACTTAGGCACTCTATGCGCTTACAACTCCAAATTTCGGAGTTCCAGGCTCGGCCGATGACCTCGCCCTCCGAACGTCCCAACCCCAAACATGCACCCAACCATGCGCGGTCCCGCGACCTCGACCTAGTTAGCCTTCGCTATTTCAATGCTAGGCCTCATTATTTCCTTAGTTGTTGTATTTATTTCCACGTTATTGAATCATGCGCACTCTTTTCATTACAGCTCATAACACTTGGTATCAGAGCTACTTTCCTAGATTACCCTCGTGTTTCCGGGGTAGTTAAGTGAAGGGGTGCGATAGACTTGGTGGGCTGCGAAGCGGTCGGCTGTGAAATAGATACGGTATGATAATTTCACTCCGACTACGTTAGCGTTCGCGCCTTCATCAAAGTCATAAAAATCGCAGTTAACCCCCTGCCCGTTAGGCGAAGCCTGAGTAATATGGAGCAGGCCGAGTTTAACGAGTTTCTGCAACAGTTCCGGACAATGCAGGCCAACTTGGAGACGATGTCTGTGGAAGGTCGAACGCCCAAGAGGGGAAAACGCCGAACTACGCCGGTCGCGAAGTGAAGCGCGCCAGGAGTCGCCCGTCTTGGATGAAGCAAGTAGTTGCTCCACGCCGATCGAGGCCGTCTTCAGTGAGCTCGAAGGCTCCTTGGACGCCGCAGACGCGAGGCGGGCACAACGGCAACAGTCGCAAACAGCGCCGAGGCAGGCACCAGCGACGACGCCAGCTATGGCATCAGCAGCAACAACAGTACCGGCGGCAGTGGCAGTTACTACAACTGTCAATATTAAACCGACGAACCCGCCCCCGTTCAACTCCAGCGACAAGAACGTCACTGTTTCCGCGTGGTTGTTCGGAGTGGAAGTATTCTTTAAAGCCAGGGTCTCAAGTAGACCAAGCGTTTTGCAGTCGATGAAGAAAGGGCCTGTCTGATTGGTTTACTGTCAAGAAGGAATGATTATATTGAACAGGAAGATGAGTACAAGTATGAAACCCTAAAGGGTTGTACTCACTAGATTATGCCCCACTACAGCCTAGAGACATACAAACATAATTTGACACACCCCCATAGGCAAAGTGGGGGATAGCAAACACAACGGACGGTCACAAGACCAGTCAAGCAAGAGAACAAAGCTAAGCAAAGCTCAGGGTGGATCTCAAGATCACCACGCATTCTGAGCACAAGCAAGCGGCCACAAGGCCAGTTCGCATACAGAGTTTATAATAGCAATTGCAGTACACTGATCACAACCTAGAAAGTGCAAACATGCAGGTATAATCATATATATCAGAGTACAACAAGTGCAAGACAAGATCAAGAGACAAGCAGGTGAGGCAGAGTCTGCACAAGCCCAAGAGCAGTGCAGAAACGCTGATGATCACTAGACCCAATGGACTTGGTGAAGACATCAGCAGTGTTGGCCTGTGTGGCCACGTAAGCAAGACGAAGCTGACCACGCTGCTGCAGCTCTTGCGTGAGGAAGTAACGGGGAGCAATGTTCTTCGTTCTGTGCTCCAGTCTCTGGTCCTGACACAAGGCAATCATGGCCTTGTTGTCGACGTACATAACTGGAGGAGAACGAGGCCGCTCACCCAAGTCGGTCAGCAGGTACGTCAGCCAGCGGAGCTCCTGTGCAGCCATAGCCCCATCGTAGATTCCGGCCTCACAGCTGGAACTAAGTACAGAAGACGAGCGAGTGGACCTCCACGAGACAGAACCAACGCCGAGGCTGAAGCTATACCCCTATGTCGACCGGTGAGTCATCTGGTCGTCAGCCCAAGAAGCGTCTGAGTGGCCGGTGAGAACAACTGAACCCTGTCCTCCAAGCACAAGCCCTATGCCCGATGTACTGCACAAGTAACGCAGTACCCTCTTCGCAGCATCCCAGTGCACCTTTCGGTGTCTACCGGCAGCGACGTAGCGAGCCAGGAGGCTAAGAGGGTACGCGAGGTCAGGTCGTGTGCACGTCATCAGGTACATGAGGCAACCCACAAGCTCTGGGTACGGACCACTCGGCTCTACGGACTCGTCCGAAGGTGGAGCTGAGAGCGAGTGGCCTGTAGACAGAGGAGTGGACTGTGGCGAGGACCACGAGAAGTCGAAGCGCTGAAGGACCTGCTGCACCATGTGTGACTGAGTGAGGGTGATGGTGCGCCGTGCTCTGTCCCAGGTGATCTGCAAGCCAAGATAGCTCTGCAGCTCACCCAGGTCAGTGCAGGTGTGTCTCTCCTGCAGCTCCGCCTTCACTAGGGCCAGTGCCTCAGTGACAGAGTAGCAAAAACCAAGTCGTCGACGTACACAAGAACGTAGAACAGCGGCAGAGAAGTGTCTGTGCGCAGAAACAACGAAGGGTCAGCAGTTGAGGGAGCGAAGCCAAGAGCCGCAAGTGTAGTCCGTAGTGTGTCGTGCCACTCACGGGGCGCCTGACGCAGACCGTAGACTGGTCGCCGAAGACTCTACTGGGTACCCTCAAGAAACGACCAAGTGAAGCCACGTGGGTGGCGCAACCAGATAGCCTCGTGAAGGCTGCCCTGCAGGAAGGCTGTCGAGAAGTCGAGGGAGTGCAGCTCGTAGTCGCGCTGTGCTGCAACGTGCAGTAGCACCCGAAGAGCGGTCATCTTCGGGGTGGGGGAGAAGGTCTGGAAGAAGTCGACCCCCTCACGCCGACTGAAGCCTCGTGCAACGTAACGCGCCTTGAAGGCAGGTGGAGAACCAGGCGGCCGCTTCACCCTGAAAATTTTACATGCCATCGACTATGTTCGCCCCAGGTGGGAAAAATGCGTCGCCGTAGGTGCTTGTGGACTTCCAGGAAGCCATCTCTGCGTCCATGGCTATCTGCCGCTGAGAGGAGTACGGACCCGTGATCGCGTCTGCGTAAGAACGCGGGGTCGGGATGTCCAGTGCATCCGGGTCTCCCTCAGGGCAAATTAGCGTGGACGCGAGATGAGGTGCAGCGGCCGC